AATGATGGGACGAAGAAGGGAGAGTCATGGGAGTCACCACGCAGCCGCAGAGGGGGCATGTTGATAAAGGTACCACCACATGGCAGAGTGTAAATAAGGAATATGGGTTAACTTAAAATGTAAGAGCTAGTTAGTAACAAGCCTGAGCTATCAGTCATGGTGCACCAGACATTCATCACCTACTGCACAGTGGGGGATGGTGCCCTAGGAAGAGCTCAAAGGACAGTGTCTTGTGGTGTTGGCAGAACTGAGTGTAAGGAGGGACTTGAGTTGGAAGGAGCAGAACTCTACCGTCAGGATCTGTGGTAGTTAATCTCAACTGTCAGCCTGAGGAAACAGAGAATCATGTGGGACAAGAACTTCTGGCCATGTCTGTGGGGGACTATCTTGATTTAGGTCAACTGATGTGAGAGGACCTGCCCACTGCGGGAGGCACCATCTCCTGGCTGGGAGCCTGGGTTGTATAAGAGGAGCAAGAGAACCAAGCACAGGCATTCATCATTCTCTGTTCCCGACTGTGGAACAAACAGCTTCTTCAGGCGCCTGATGCCCAGGCTTCTCCATGAAGGTCTGTGAGTCTATAAGTCGCTTTGTTCAGGTATCTTGTAGCAATGAGAAAAGTAACTAAGAAAGCATTCTGCCTTCCAGCTGCCTGACAGGACTGTGCTGGGTCACATAGATTCTGGCTTCTACTCAGTGCTCCCTCTTTGCTCAGGTGGAAGGTAGGCTACAAGCCAAGCTTGCCCCATGCTACAACAGGGCCCTAGGATTCAGGGCAGCCAATTGCTCACCTGAGGTCTCATGTGAGCATGAGGCAAATCTGGGATTCAAATCTGAATTCAGAGGGATAGCTGAATTCTCCTGGGGTCTAGGCTTACATCCCTGTGACCCCCATGTCTTGGAGAGTGGTGCAGGGGTTTCCTCTGGGACTAAGTTCCAGTGGTTTAGGGACACAGGGATCCTGGGTCACCTTCATTTCAAACACAGAATTAAACACCTGATGTGTTTGTCAGACTTTCTAGTGCTGGGATGAACATCCATGAGAGAACCTTGGAAAGAGGGGTTGCTTTGGTACACACACACACACACACACACACACACACACACACACACACACACATGGCATACCCCCAGTTAACCGAGTCTTATACTCAAACCCCTCCCCTTCACAGCTCTACCACATCCCAACAGCTTCTTCAGTTCTGGATCCATCAATAGATTAGTTAGGTACCTTATTCATCTATCTCCCTGTTACCCCCATAACTAGGTACTCATGTCCAGAATCAAGCATTCCCCACCATTAGACTTTTGGAGGACATACCATATTCACACCATGACAGCCATCAACTTTACAGTTGAGCCTTTGCCCAGGTTGGACCTTCTCCCTTCCTTATCCTTTGGGGAAGACCTCACCACCCTGTCAAGTATGTTCATTTGTCCCTCGGGCACAGCTAGAAGCTCTCTCCACTGCCTTCCCATGTATGCCTGTCAGTCCAGCACATGGTCCCTTTGAGTAAGGAAAATACACCCTGGGTTCTCAGCTGCCCATGGCTGAGGTCACATGGTCTTCGTCTTGGCTGCCATGACACTCACAGAAGGAAGAGTCCCTTAGCTTATGCAAGAGATGAGCAGGTCTTTCATTTGCCAGTAATTCTCTGGGCATGCCTGTGAGGATGTTTCTAGATGGGGCTGAGGTGAGAAGACCTACACTAATTGTGGGTGGAACTGCTCCATGGGCTGGGGCCCTGGACTGAAGACAAAGGTGAACCCCAGCATTCATCTGTTCCCTGACAATGAATGCGATGAGACTGGTGACCAAGACCCTGAGGTCGTGCCATGTCACCACGATCCCCGCAACCTAGAACTGTGATCCAGGTGTTTTACCACGCCCTAGAACTGTGAGCCAGAAGGTGTTTTGTCACAGCAAGCAGAAAAATAACTCAAGCAACCCCCCTTGAGGTGTCAGGGCAGCTTGAAGAGGCAGTGAGGGATTTGTGCACGGATGGCTCAATGTTGTCATCAGTTCGGAAGGCCAACAGAGCTCACACCACCCCCACCTGGGGCACACGTTCAAATCCTAGGACACTGGCCCTGCTGGTCTACTCAAGATGAAGTCTGATTGTCCCTCTAAGATGCCTGAAGCCCGGCAGCCCGCTGTGGGAAAGGCACTGATGAGGGTCCACAGTCTTCAAATTACAGACCATGTTTGTATAATTTCTTTTTTTTTTTTTTCAGAAAATTGCTAAAAAAACAAAAAGTTAACAGGTGAGATGCATCCTGGGGAACAAGAATCTATATTTAAACGCAGCTCTTCTTTCTTTGTTCCAGTCTCCGATTGCCTAAATTACTCATAATTCTTAATTGTGTTTCAATCGCCTGCTGCTTGCCAGGCATTTACCTCTACAATACACTGGGCTGGCCACCTCTCACTCTGGGCTCTTTGAAATCTGTTTGCTCTGTTGGGCACTGGAGGGCACAGCTGATGGGCACATATGCCAAGTCCCTTTGGTGTGGTTCCATGCCACTTCACAGGCTGACCTGCACCCACGGTAGAGACTTGACGCCTGCGCCTGCGCTGTTACTGACTGGAGCTGGCAGCAGCTCAGGGGCCACAGCAACTTCATTCAGAGGGGATGCTGCACCCCGCCCGGAGCACTCACTGCCTCTATGGAAAATATGTGTACCTCATTATTAGCAGGCCAGCTGCCACGTCTACAAATACAACACTAATTTTCTAGTAGAAGCTGGCCCAGCAGGAGTGGAGGAAGTGTAGAAAGGCAGGGACAGTTCTGGGCGTGAGGACAGAAAGGAGTTCCTCACCCCAGAGTCTGCCTGAAGCCTTTCACTGGCTGAGAATCAATGCAGATACATTTGCCTAAGGCCCTTCTCCTCCTCTTAGGTGGGACCTGCAGTTTCCTAGGAAGCTCACCAGAAACCCCACTGACAGTAAAAAATAACAAGCCCTAACCTCCTAGCACAGCCCTAGTGTTCTCTTTCAGTCTACCAGTTTATATATGACACAACCAAGGCTTCGCTGGGTGCCCTTATGGTCTCAGTTATCACACGGGGGAACAGAGGTAGGGAAGGGGGTGCCCTTAGAACGCAAAATGGAGTCACAGTGAAGATCCTGATGCTGGGTTCTTCTCTGGGAAACTGTGGTCACTCGGGTACATCTTACTCTTGGCCCGGTGCCTCTTTCTACTTTCAATAGATTCCAACTCCACTCCGCACTGGCTCATCCTGAAATTCTTCTCCGCATTAAAAACAAGGATCTGGCCTCACCTGAGTCAAGGTCCCTAAAAGATTAAGGGACCCTCCTTGGGGCTGCTGCAGGGGACAGTGCGGAGCTACATTCCCATGCCAGCAGCTGTCCACGAGAAGACCAGCACTCTCCCATTCACCTGGTATGTTTGTGGGGGGCGAGAGACACAGCACCCAGTGCTTGGAATTTCGGCTTGGCATGATTCCTGACCTCCCAACACAGGCCCGAATGGAAGTCATAGCTGAAGCAGGGCCCCTAGGGAGTAAGGGTGTGCGATGACAGAGATCGAGCATCCGTGAGACCTGCTTCTTTGAGGAAGTACCTGGATCCAAGAGGCCTCTGGGGTCACAGTGGCTCTGTTATTTGCCATGCACAGCTCCTCGGTGTGTCAGGGCAGATGGGGGCCCTGTTGATCCCCCTCCTGTCCTGTCCTTTCCCCCACACTCCAGTGAAGCCAGAGAAAGCCGAATGAACAGCAGGGAACTGCCAGTGTCACCAGGAAACACCTTTTTGTCACCCTGAGAGGCTCCTGTCCCTGGGTGGTGACTCTGACAGTGAGGGAAGATGTTATACTCTCGGCAGAGACCTTCGCTGCTAAAGGCCTCTTCTCTGTCCCTCTCTTAGGTGACAACGTCGTCAACTTCCATTAGGTTGAACTACTTTTGTGCTTAGATGGCAGCACCATAGACACCATGAGAATTAATACCGGCCAACTTGACAGGCTCTAAAATCACATAGGAGACAGATCTCTAGGCATGTCTATTAGAAACTTCTAGATTAGGTTAAGTGAGGTGGGAAGATGGTCCCTCATAGTGGGTAGTATCCTATCATGAGCTGAGGTCCTGGACTGGACAACAAGGTGGGGGTCACACAGCTCTCGTGCTCTCCTCCCCAGAGGGCCTTGCTCATTCATTGCCTGTAGGTGCCTATGAGAGGTGAGTCCTGGCCCTGGCCTCTTCCACCTTCAGGGATAAGCCCCTGCCACCCAGCAAGTTCCCACCCCCTCATGTCATGTAAACGCATTTGCAAAATTTCAGAATGGCCGGTAATTCACTGAAATTGAGGTATTTCAATAAGCACGCCCCTCTTTTGTATGGTCCCTTTCCCTCCCTCTCCACTTCCAGGTTATTTTGTCACACACTGAAAGTCTGACCAACACAGAGCCACTGAGGTGCTTTTATCTCTGCATCCATGCTGTCACCTGCCATTCCCCTTGACAACACTGTTACACTCAAGGAAGAGACTCACACCTCTTGGTCCACCCTCTCCATCCCCATCTTATAGAAGCTAAACTTGGGCTAGCCAGGCCTTCCAGTGGCTCTCTGCACACACACAGCCCACAGTATCTGCCCTCCCTCAAGGCCTTAGGCTCTCTCAATCTCTAGGCCAGGTTTTGGCAGCTGGAGTAACCCTCCCTGGCCAGAACTTCCGCCCTCTTCTCTTCCCTGTGTTCTGTGAGCCCATTGGTCTGAGGGCAGCCCTGGAGTCCTGTGTGCCCGCTTCCTCTGTGCTGGGTCTGGAGGAGCCCCAGTCCTGGGCTAGCCCTCTTCTGAAGATGCCTGTTGTCAGCCCTCAGCTGGAGGGGCTCTGTCTAACTCAGCCAGGCTGTTTCCTCTGTTAGAGTCACACACTTGGCATGGGTATGGCTTGGGGGACAGGCTCTGTACAGTTGTCCTGATTGACTGAGCCAGGGAACAAAGGTGTGCTTCAGAAGTAAGTGTATTCCCAGGGCTCTTACCTGCCACTGGATCAGAACCGAGGACGTGGTGTGAGGTGTGGCTGAGACAGACCCTGGAGGCTCTCCTGGCACTGTGGGACAGCAGATAGGAGGAAGCAGAGTTAGAATGGTTCCGTCGGCTTTCAGTTACCCTTCAGCGTAGGGTGCCTCCTCCTTCCTTCAGGCACCTTCACCCATCACTCATCTGCCTAAGGTAGCAAGGGTGGCTCCCACGAATAGTCCCCCTTTAGCCCCATTGGGGTATATGGATGAGTTGCAATCTCCCGTGGGTCCCCTCAGGCCACATACAGCACCCGGGTAGCTCCTGCCCAAGACCCTTCCTGGGCTTCCAAATCTTTGGGAATTGGGGGGGGTTCACAGTGAGGTCACGGTGCTCTTAGTTTGAAACACAGAAGTGAATGTGACTATTGGTAGAGATGAGGTTGTAGGCCAGCCAGCAGGCAAAGCCAGGGAGCTGCAGCAGCTCTGCCTCTGGTCTCTGGAAGGACAAGGCTGGTATGACCCTGTCATGGACAAGCCTGTTTTTGGACCAAAGCAGAACCCTGGCCAAGTATCAGGTGCTGGAGGCCTTTCTGCCCCTCCCCAGATCACGTGGGTCTCTCTCATGTACTAAATTGACCTCTCTGGGTCTCCCTCGGCTGTGCCTGTGTGCCAACAGGAGCCTGTTAATAAGTGTTTACAGAGGGGGACAGGACTGGGCATGTTCCATCACCCCATCTGTGTACCACGTTCTGTCTACTTTACATCCCAGCTTTGTCCCTGACTGATTCTTGTCAGAGTACTCCAGGCCCTCTATTCTCAGCCACATAGGTGGAACCCAGTGTCACCCTGCAGACTAGTGCTTCTCAACCTGTGAGTCGTGACCCCTTTTTTGGGTCAATCAGCCCTTTCACAGGGGTTGCCTAAGATCACCAGAAAAACACAGATATTTACATTACAATTCATAACAGCAACAAACTTACAGTTATAAAGTAGCAATAAAAATAATTTTATGGTTGGGGGTCACCACAATGTGAGAAAAATGTATTAAAGTGTTGTCAATGTGGACCTTTATCCAGCCCAAGAACCCTGTATAGTAAATAAATACCAGCCCAATAAGAAAATGTGAGGGGCTGGAGAGATGGGCTCAGAGTCCAAGAGCATTGTCTACTCTTTAGGAGGACCCAGGTTCAATTCTCAGTTCCCCCATGGCAGCTCTTAACTGTCTGAAACTCCAGTTCCAGGGCATCTTGCACCTTCACACTGACGTACATGCAATGCAGGCAACACACCAATGGACATAAAAACAAATAAATCTTTTAAAAAAGAATCAAAAAGCAAAGATCTTGCCCAACATAGTGGCTGTTCTGAGTGCTGAGCTCATATACAAAGCCTTGAAGCTCACACAGCTGCCAAAAGAAAAAAGAGGAAGAAAGAAAGGAAGGAAGGAAGGAAGGGAGGGAGGGAAGGAGGGAGGGAGGGAGGAAGAAAGAAAGAAAGGGAGGAAGGAAGGAAGGAAGAAAGAAAGGTAGAATCAGGCACCACTTTGCCTGAGATTCTGGGGACTTGGGAGGCACAGGCAGAGGGATCACAAGCTCAAGAACAGTCTGGGTCATGACTGAAGTGCTATGTCAACAAATCAAAACAAAACAAAACAAAACCAATGGCCAGGACGTGCCTCAGTGACAGTGAGTGCCTAGACTTCCATAGTGAGGTGGGGGTATGTCTGAGTGGTAGAGCACTTGCCTAGAATCCCTGAATGAGGGGCTGAGGTTTGGCTCAGTGGTACAGCATCTGCCTAGAATCCCCCAGTGAGGGGCTAGGATGAGCAACAATCAGCAAGGCCTGGGGTTCCACCCCTAGCATAGTAAGAAGAAAATGTTAATCAGTCATAAAAGGTCCCTCTCTCTTCCAGCTAAGGTAGGGTTGGTCTTGCCAGTCAATCTCCACCTCTCAGAGGGAGACAAAGGGCCACAAACACAATGCAAATCCATCCACAAAAGGAAATTGCAAGTCTCAGACAAGGAAGATGATTCGATAGGGACCTCAAAAGCATCATTTGAATATCAAAGGGTTGAGAAGGTGCCTGGGGAGCCTAGAGAGTTCCTTGAATAGCTTTTCTGAAATGGCCCATTCCCTGAGGTCGCCAGAGCTTGTCAGGATCCTGCGCTTCCTGTTTGTCAGAGATAACCCAACAATGACTGCAGCATGCTTGGGTGTCTGGTTCTTTCTTCTAAGAATTAGTGCACCATTGCAAATATTCTCTCCATTGTGTCTGAGGCAAGATAAAAATGAGCGTGTGGGGGTGGGTGTTGGTTTTCATTAGATTTCCACTTTCTCCCTGTTCCACACCACCTTTTGTGTGTATGTGTATGGAAGCTCTAGTGCATGTGTGTACATGTTTATGCCCCATGCTGGTCCTTGTGATGTGTGTGTGGGGGGGGGTGGAGGTTGGAAGTTAAAGTTGAATATCTTTCTACTGTTCTCCACCTTAGTTTTAAGGCAGTTTTGAGGGGATCTTGCTGAATATGAAGATTCTCCCACAGGTGCTTTGGGTCACCCAGCTTCCTGCACAACATCATAGATTCTCCCTGAGCTCTGCTGCTTCTGGAGCCCCAACAGCTGCACCGGGGTCTCATCATCTCTAAGGATGAGAGCGCGGGATCCATTTCTCCAGGGATTTGGGGAAGTTTAGAGCCTCTCTCATCAGGTGCCAGACCCAGTGAACCCAGTCACAGTGGGGATGCTGGATTTGCAGCAAAATTCTCTGTGGTAATTTAAGGTCTTTAGGGGGTAGGGAGGGCTGCATCTACATTAATTGTTCTTCAAGGGTGATTAACAAACAGACCATTAGGACTGTGATCCTGGAGAGCTGGAAACTTGCAGGTCCAGAGCTGAACTGTCTTGGGCCTTCTTAGACCCTAAATAGCTACTTAGAGCCTACTGCTGTTTGCAATCTAACACCCTTGTGGCTTAAGTCCTTTTGAAAGTACAAACAGACCCTTAGCTTCACCCACTCACCGGCTAAGTCTGAGATCTAAAGTGGAAAAGACTATAACTTGCTACTCGGTATTCCCACCAATGCATTCAAAATATTCTCGATTTAAAATGTCCTTTGCTCTGCCACTATGAAACTGTGTGGAATTCTTAATATGTTGGAACATGGCAGTCTATCTGGGGTGACCTGAAATGGTGTTCCCTTGGACCATGATCACTCATATTTTGTTTCCAAATAAAGTATCTCCCATTCCCATTGAGGGGGAGAGCTTTTTGTTTGTTCGTTTGTTCATTTGTTTTGGGATCAAAGTCTGAGTATGGCTGGAAAGCTGAAAATGGCTCACCTCCACCCCTGGGCTTGTCCCTGAGGCACCCTGAAACTTTGTGTGGTAGAAGTTAAACTTCTAGGCTCTGAAAAGCCTGTGTGTTGGGGGGGGGGGGAAGGTGGAGGAGGAAGACACATGATGCAGGTCACAGGGCGAGGCAGCCGGGACCTGGCCCATTTGGAAACTGTCTCTCTTGCTGGAGTGCTAAATGGAAGAGACCGAGCTTCCTGGGAGTCACAAAGCCGCACTAAGTGCCCCGCTTTAAGGCTGAGCTGGGAGTTGCCCAGTCTCCATCTTCTCCCATTGTACTTGTCAGTCTGTGGCTGTGTTAGCTGGATCTGTATCCCTGGCTTCTAGGCACTTCCTCCCACTCCCAGGATCAGGCATCTTCAGGCCCAGTACCTCTGAGGTCAGAAGCAGGAGAGGAAACCACCTCGTGCTTTGGGGGTGGGGATCTGGAAACTTCTTGGACCCAGCTTCCTCACTGACATTTATTTTTAATGACCCCCATTAATTATTCAATTTCTAATGGAGGAGGGTTTTGGAAGCCAATCAAAGGGAGTTCTATTCCATTTGGAAGCTCTCTGGGAGACCTTGATCTGTGACCATGGGGTGTATAGGGATACTCCAAGCTGTCAGTTACTAATGGACTTCTGATGCTTGTCACCCTCCCGGGTGACCTCTCTCTTCTCTGCTCAAGATTGGAGCAGGGACTCCTTCTGGGAGGAAGGTGTCCTCTGGCCTCAGCGAGGAGTGCATGTACTGGGTTGGCTTTTGCTCACCATCTTGCAGTGTGGTCACGGCCTCTGTTTCTGCACTGAAGTCACTGTCCCCGATATCGTTGGTGGCCTTCAGGCGTAGCTTGTAGGAGGTGAAAGGCCTCAGCCTGCAATGGGATGCAGAAATCAGTGGCTACAGCAAACCTCCCCCTGTTTTGTCTGTGTTACGACTAGAAAATCATGGCGGGGGGTGGGGGGCGAGGTGAGACAGGTGTCTTTCCTGCCCCAGGAACTTGGATCATCTTGCCACCAGGAGGTATGGAACCACTCCCTAGATACAGCTACTTGGGCCTTTCAGGGACCCCCTAGACTGCCATGAGGGTCAGGGAGAGACAGTTTCATCAAAGGAGACATCAGTGAGAAAGTTTTGTTCAGAGAACATCCAACACCTCTTTAATAAGATGCTATACAATAAATTACTGCTTGCCTAGGCTGAGGATGGAGGGGTAGAGCTAGGATGGGGCTCTGGGGAAGAAACAAAAAGATCTATTGTATAGCTACAACATATCCAGTGCAGAGCTGTCCCTCCCTTCCAACCTCCTTGGATTCACCCATGTTTCTGCTCCACCTCAGCCAGGCATGACCATAGAATCCTGCTCTTTTCCAGGTGCTGGGCCAAGGTCCAGCATGCCCTGTTCAGCTTGCACTAGGGATAAGTTCCCAGGTAGGATCATCAGTGCATCCCTTCGCAGGCAGGAAATAGGCCAGTAGGGAAATGCTAGCCTGGATGGGTTCTGTGCTTTAGAAACCATAATCAAATTCAGAAACCATCATGGACTAAAGTTCCCAGGAAGGCAGGGTTGAGGGGGGGGGGGATGGAGGGTGGGGTAGGGGTAGGGGGTTTCAGGGAAGGAGAAAGAAAAAAATAGGAAAATCCATTCCACAGGCTGCTTGATTGATTAGAACTTCAAGAATGCTGCACGTTGGGAGCAAGCTATCTTGGGCTCCCATTAGCCCACCTCTGTGTCTGAACTCACAGGCAACCTTTAGGCAAATCCTTTCAGAAGGCACAGGCAGACCTCTGGCTTCCACAGACAGCATCTGAAACCATAGCAGAGACTCCCCGACTCTGATGTACCTTCCCACCTGCGGTTTCCACCAGTGTATTTTAAGTCACCCTGACTTAGGACTTCCTTTGTTGTTATTGTAAAAACTCCATGAACCGGTAACCACGCTGGAACATGGCATTTGGGGTAGCTTGGATCTGTGATCCTGGACTACACACAGTCACTTGTATTTGACTCCAGAATAAAGGCTTTGATCCCTTGAGGAGAGAACTGTGTTTTTGCAGAGATGCCACAGTGAGCCTCTTTAGTGCTTCTTTGCCTTTGGATACATTGGATTACAGCATTTCTCTAAAGCCTGAGGGATGCTCGACTCAAAGCCCTGGGAACAATCTGGCCTTGCCAATTCCAAAACCCCTGCAGGCCTGGCCTCACCAGCAGCAGCCAGGGGAATGTGGTATTGGTTGGTTTAACTCCGCTTAATGGAGAAGCCCCCTGAAGGCCAACTGCCTGGAATGGTCTTTGCTGTGGTTTCTGGGGACAGCTTTTGTTTAGCTCAAACAAACCACATCCACCTGTTCCCGGCTTCCCAGAAGCTACTGTGTCTAGTCTGCGGGATAAATGTCTGATTGTCCCTGTTACTTCGAAACCTCATATGCTAAGCAGCCCGTATTTGAGTTAGCTACCTGCTTTTCTTTCCTGGTGTTGGGGGCAGCATGGGGTCCCTAAAATTGTGGGCTCTGAAGTGTACTTTTCAGTTCCTCAGCCCTAGCCATGCTTGGATGGGCCGCTTTGCAAACACTTCCTCATCTGGGCAGCTAATAGACAGACAGCAAGAAGCTGTTCTGAGAATTAAATCAGGTGAGGCACTTAGGACAATCAGTTGAAATGGGGTTGGGGAGGTGGCTCAGTGGGTTAAGAGTGCTTGCTGTGCAAGCATGCAGAGGACCTGAGTTCAAATCCCTAATACCACATGGGCATGGCTATGTGTGTGGAACCCCAGTGCTGGGGGAAGGAGAGGACAGGAGGATTGTTGAAGGGGAGGGGGTTGGGAGGAGTGGGGAGGGTGGGAGGCTTACTACCTGTTAGACTAGCTCCAGCTCAGTCAGAGACCCCCATCCCAATGAAATAAGATAGGTAGTGACAGAACAGGACACATGCCATCCTCACCTAACCTATGTGTGATTCTATCTATGTATACGTGTACAGGCACACCACACACACATACATGCACAGCTGTTATCATTGTTATTTCTTAGGTATAAGTGCTCATCACATGATAACTGCCCTGTTCCTTTTCTTTTTTCTTTCTTGCATTTATTTATTTATTTATCTATCTATCTATTTATTTATGAGTCTGTAGCTATAACTGGCTATGAAGTTACTATGCACCTGAAGATGACTTTGAATTCCTGACCCTCCCATTTCCATCTCTCAAGAACTGGGATTGCAGGCATGTATCACCATGTTTGGTTCTATGTGGTGTTGGGAATGGAACCCAGAGCTTTGTGCATCCCAGGCAAGCACTCTGCCAATTGAGTCACATGTCTTCTTTATCTTGGCCACACTGTCACTCTACATCCCTAAAGACAGGGGCTAGGGTGGCCTGAGGGAATCCTGCCACTCTAGCATTGAGAACTATGCTGGAGTGTTCAATAACACTTTGCCAAAGAAATAAGTACATTATGCTGACAATGCTATTCCAAATCCTCTTGAGAAAGTAGAAAGAAGGCACATGTCAGATGCTGCAATACTGACCTGCCGGGCAAGATGTGCCCACTATACAATAATGGCACAACTGTTATGGGGGCAACCAACCACTTTCTGAGGTTGAGTGTGAAGGAGAGAAGAAAGCAGAGGTCTGCAGAGACCAGGACATGGTCTACCTGGACATGAAAAACACAGGGTGTCCATGGAGCTAACCTGTCTCCAAATTAACTCACTAGCATCCTATGTGCAAATGCCTCTGGCCTTGCCCACTCCTGCAGATCTTGCCTCTGACCACAGCTGCCCCCCATCCCACCTACTCCCCCAGCTCCCTCCCTACCCAGCCCATGCCTCCATGCCACCAGGGTCCATCCTACATCAAGGCCAATTTCAAGGACTCCCTGGTAAAGGAAAGAAAGACCTATCTATCCATTTTCCCACACCTTCTCTATTCTTCCAGGACAGTCTAAGCCTCTGCCGTGGAGTTGGCCAAGCAGAATTCATATTTAGCTCTGCCATTATTAGCCAGAGCAAGTTGTTTGATTCTTATGATCTCTCTTTCACCTGTAAAAATGGAGATCAGAGCCCCTGAGATCATTTGTGAACATTAAGTCATCAGGTATCTAACGATCTTGGCACACAGCAGACAATGAATAAATGCTATTTTCTTTTTGCTCTTCTGGAAGGTTCCCTTTCCTTTCCTCTCTGGGTGAGATGTAGTCCCTCCAAATTGGGGGCCGGCTTCCACTGGCCCTTTCCACATCCTGTGTGCCTCACCTTCTAAACTTGGACACTGCACAGGCTTAAGGCACAATTTTGAGATACACTGTTAATCTACCTCAACTCTAACTTCTAAGCATCTGAGATTCAGGAAACAAGGAGACTTCACAGCACAGGGACCTTTTGAAACTCTATCATACCCACTGCTTTACCAACCCACGAGCCAGGTTCATGCCATCCCACCTGTGCCTGTACTGTGGATGCTCACGTGTGGGTTTTACCTCCACTGCCGAAGTCTTTTGGGGGTGGCAAGACAGCCTGCAGTTCAGTGCTGATTCCGGGTATTGGAAATATAAGAAGTCCTGCATACTCATTTTCATTGGAATGCAAGTTGCATGGATCTTAAACACTCTGAATACTACCCATTGCTGCTTTTACCCAGTTATCTATCAGGCATTGGAACTGTTTGGGGCTTGACCTGGCTTATTCTGTCAGCGGAGAAACCTATTGAGGGGTGCAGGAAACCTATCAGAAACTACTTTTTAAGAATTTAGCTAGGCCTGATGGTGTACATTTGGGATCTATTCAGGATGCTGTGAGGCAGGAGGATCAAATCTAAAGGCTTGTCTGTCAAATCTAAACATACCCCGAAAAGGAGACCTCAAACCGAGGAACTGTCTCCATCATATTGGCATGTGGACATGTTATAGGACATTTTCATAGTTGCTTCTTGATGTAAGAGGGTCCAGTCCACTGTAGCTAGTACCTTCCCTGGGCAGATGGGCCTGAAGAAAGGTAGCTAAGCAAGCCCAGGTAAGCAAGACAGTAAGTTCTGTTCCTCTATAGTTTCTGCCTTCTGGTTTCTTCCTTGAGGTCCAGCCCTAGCTTGTCTTGGTGATAGGCTATAACCTACAAGCTAAAGCAAACCCTTCCCTCCACAAATCTGTTCTGGTCAGTATTTTATCTCTGCAACAGAAACCAAACTAGAACACCAAACAGAGTAACTTACATTGAAGAGCAGCTTGGGCCACCTGTGAGGTTCTGTCCCAAAAAGTAAAGAGAAGGCTGGATGTAGTTCAGTGGCCCAGTGAGGGGCTGCATGTAGCTCAGTGTTAGAGCCCCTGCCTAGAATTCCCCCAGTGAGGGTCTGGGGTATGGTTCAGTGATAGAGCACTTTTCTAGAATCCCCCAGCTAGGGGCTGCATAATAGATAGCAAAGCATTTATACAGCAGGCACAAGGTGCTGGGATGCATCCCAATAGGGGACACACACACACACACCTCATCTTTCTTAAGCTCCATCTTCAGGCTTAAAGGAAGCATCTCCTTCCCCCACAGGCCCCATCACGTCCAGATCTCCACATACTGTACCATTTCCATCTAATGCTGTTCTACCTCGAGGCCCTTTCCCCTAAGGTATCACTGCACCTTCTGAAGAGAATTGCAAGCCAGTTTCTTTTCTGGACTACCCATCTGACCATTATTATGTCTAGCACCCCCATTAACGGTTCCACAGCCTCAGCAGGTGCTCACAATGCCAGCTGCTCTCATCCCACTCTCCTGAAGTGCTCCGGACCATGGCAGACATCCATGGCCATGAGCTCTCTATAGTCAAGCTTTGTCTCTCCGCTAGATCTCATGAAGCAGACGGAACGTAAACATAGCTGCTGGAGTTGTTAGGGCTGACACCATGGCAGCAGATAAAACAGCCTCTCAGGACACTGTCTGAGATCGGCTTCCATTCTGGTTCTTGCTGGTTAGGAAATTGATAGGTCTTTTCTGGACCACATGAAACCGCCTGTTTGAATAGGAGCTTCTCCTCACCATACACACATCTGTGGTTACTCAGCAGGCTATGGAGAACATGACTATGCTTTCTATCTTGTCTCTCAGGTGGGAAGACAAAGGGGTGGGGTTATTTAAACTCAACTAAAAGGGGCACCTCCATCACCTACCCCCTTCTCACTGCCTCTTTTCCAGCACCTACCTTTGGGAGTACTGGGGCACAGCCCAGGTTTAGCCACATTCTTCTTGCCTAGGTCCTCACGCCTGGGCGCAGCACATCTAGAGGGGCCCTACAGATGTTGGGTCTCTGGTGTGGGAAGTGTCAACAGAGACAGGGGCTGTCTCTCAGTGGGGGATCTCCTCGGCCACACAGACACTCCTGTTGTGTGAGGGGGATGGGGTCATGGTGGGGACTCTTGGGGTAGTGTTCCTTGGGTTAACAGGAGCTCCTTTCTCTCCAAGACCTTTTACATAATTTTCTATTAATTAAAAAATTAGTTTCCCATTAGCATTTCAACATGTTCTCTGTCATGTTCAGATCTTAGCTCCTAACTTTTATACGCATATATTTGTGTGGGGGCGAGTATGGGTAGAGGCCAGGAAACCATGAAGAGGTCCATGAGAGGCTAAAAGGAAACTTTGGGGTGGGCAGATGGGAGGGTAACAGAACACATATGATAGGAAGAGGAAGGGTACAAGCAGGGATGGAGAAAAGGCATTTCATATACATCAACACAGGGTGTGTAAGAAAAGGCTATGAGGAAACACGCTACTTAAATATCACAGCAAAGCTGGGAGGTGGGGGCACACACCTTAATCCCAGCCCCAGGGAGGCAGAGACAGGCGATCTCTGTGAGTTTGAGACCAGCATGGTTTATAAGAGCTAGTTCCAGGACAGCCTCCAAAGCCACAGAGAAACCTTGTCTCAAAAAACCAGGGGAAAAAAAAAAATCATGTCAAGTGAGGTAACACAGTGTGATGGTTAAACACTGACTGTCAATGACAGATTCTAGAACCATCCTAGAGTCAAACCACAGGGATGCCCGCAGGGGATCATCAAGATTAGATTAATTGAGGTGGGTGGCACCATTCCAGGGGTTGGGATGAAGGATGAATGTGAGGAGCTTCCTGACCAGATGTCATGTGACTAGATGCCCCAAGCTCCTGCCCCATGTCATCACTGCCAGGATGCACTGTGTATCTTCAAACTGTGAGCCAAAGTAAACCCCTTCCTCCCTCAAGCCACTTCCAACAGCCATTTTGTTGTGGGAGTCAAATAGGGAGACAAGTGACTAAGACTCCAGGTTCAGAAAGATGAAAATGGAATGCTACCCCCATCCCACAGTACCTTTCCACGGCACAAGCTGTGGCCTCGTGGCTGATAGATGAGGAGTAGGTCTGCCACTCTCCACCAGGTAGCTCTCGCACCTGCACGGTGAAGTACCGGATGGGGGAGGCCCCATCACTGCCAGGGACCCACTGGAGCCTGAGGCTACGTGCTGTCACTTCTGTCTGGGGTACCAGGAGCTCTCTGGGGGCGCTGGCCTCTCTGCAACGAGAGTAGGAGAAAAGCAGGGATTCATGAGATGCCATTCCTTGCTGCTCCCTGATGTCTGCCCATGGGAACCATTGTGTGGGAAAGTCCTGAAGCGAAAGACTTGACCTAGTTTTGCAGGTAAAGTATTTACCATACAAGCCAAGGACCCAAGTTCAACCCCCAGATCCCACATAAAAATCTGGGTGTAATGGCACATGCTGTTAATTCCGGTACTGGGGAGGTGGAGACAGGAAGAGTTGGGGCTTATTGGCCAGCTAGCTCCACCTAATGGGAGAGTTCCAGGTCCCACTGAGACACCCTGTCTTGAGAAACAGAGTAGATTTGTACTTGAGGAAGGAAGCCAACACCCAGGGCTGCACCTCTGATTTCTATGTGTACCCACACATGCAGTCCCATTCAGGTGAACACACACACACACACACACACACACACACACACACAAACACACACACACAACTTCCCCTGCCGTTCACACAAAGAAGGAAGAGCAAGCGAGTCTTGGGAGAGGAAGTTGTCTTACAGCTGACTTTGGATGCATCAGATCAGGTCCCACTGGAGAGCAGGGCTTGCTCACACAGCAGAACCAGCCAATGTGTGTGCCTCCAGAGGCCCCAGCCCCTACTGGCAAGGGCAGGTATGTCTGAATGACAGCTGTCATCTCCTGTGGTGCTCTTCTAAGGGACTCAAGTCTCCTTTGTATGCTGTCTGATTTGGGGCTCAGCTCATCTTTAAAATCCAATTTCTTTTTCTTTATAGTTAACCTGAGTCTAACACATGAGAGGAATCTACTGAGTTCTCCTGGGAGGTAGGAGGCAAGGGCAGATGGGGGTGGGGGAGGATGGGGGATGGGCTGTTAATGGTTTCCTCAGGGTTAGGATGCAGGGTGCCTGGGACCAGCCTTGGCCTTGAATGGGTATCATGTGCCTGACATTGTGCTTCTGTTCCCCATTGATTTCAACAGAGGGACTCCACAGAGAGAGAAAGTAATTGTTTAATTGTTTATCATGATGATTATTGATTCTGATTAAAATGTGTGGCGTGTAATAAAGCAGCCATCGATCGTGGGTCCTGCAGTGACAGAGCTGTGAGAGGTGCTTCAATCTGGCTTAGTCGGGGGTCCTGGCTGGGAGTGTGCATACTGGCTGGAAGCCTGGTTTCTCCAGGTTCCAGAAAGAGCTGGGCTCCCTGGCCAGTGTCTAAGGCCTTTATGGACACACTGCCACTGGAAAGGACTCAGGCTCCCTGTCCCTAAGCCTTGCACTAGAACCTGGTGGGAAGTAAAGATTCTCCATACCTAAGGGACTGGGGGGCTGGGCAGGGAGTGGTGGCCCAGGCAGCAAGCCAGCATGATCAGGTCACACTTGTCCACCTACAGGAAGTGTTTATGTATGTGTTTTCATGTGGATCTGACTCAAGCCCTGTAAGGGCCTTAGCAAACCTTCCTCATTCATCCTTTGCCTCTGAAAGGCCCATGGGATGGAGAGCGAGCTCAACTGGTAAAGTGAGTCACTTACAAGCATGAGGACCAGAGTTGGATCCCCAGAACCCATGTGAAAGAATCCAGAGGGATGGAGTTTGTAATCTGGGGAGGTGGAGACAGGTGGATCCCTGTGGCTCACTGGTCAGTTAGCCTAGCCAAATCTGCAAGTGTCAGGCCACTGAGAAACCCTGTCTCAAAGAACAAGGTAGAGAGTGTCTCATGGAATGAACCCCGAGGCTGCACTCTGGCCTACAAACCCATGTGTATACACTTGCATATGCATACAAACGCCCACTTGCACATACATATTCATGTGTACACAAGTATGTATGCAAAAATACATGCTAATAGTGTTGGGCATTCCTAAGGAGTGCATGACCCTGGAAAGTAGGCAAGGGCAAGGGTGGCTGCCCAGGGTCCCAGAGCAAAGTCCTCTGTCACTACTTCTTGAAAACACTACTAAACACTCTGGGGACCAGGCTGCAGCTGCCAGTCTCCGGAGGACTCTCCCAGAATCCATCATTTGTGTCCTGGTCCCCTGAGCCAGGTGCCATAGGCATTGCAGGTCACGTCAGCACTCTGAGTCCAAGCGCATCCTTCCCCAAAGGACTCAGTAAGAACATCTCGCAGAACTGTGGAGCCAACAAAGGCTCTGCCAGTGCAGCCCTGCTGGGAACTCGCTGGTTCAGGATATGGGAGGTGAGGCCTGACTTCCTTCTATTGGTGCTTACTCTGCAAAGATGAGTGATGTACAAGGTAGACGTGGTGGGTCTCTGGGTAGCCTGTCTTTCACCCAGCAGGCTTCTCCTCTGACAACACCTTAGGGGGCTTTGGTGAAGCTGGAGATAGGAACAACGGTGGTGATACCTGGGGGGGGGGCAACTGGAACATGGGGTGAGCTCTGTGTCAGCCTCCTTCCTCTGTTAGATTTAAGCGCTCTGAGTTCAACTCCTCCATCCCTGAAATGGCCTTCTTTAGATCTTGAATAAGAGTGGTCACAAATGCAGCGGTGACACTCATTCACAATTGGTGAGCATTTATTTCCTGGAAGCCTTAACTGATGACAAAGAAAGCCTGTCCTGGGCACTGTGCTAACTGCTTCACACATAGCAAAGAGAGCAGAGGGTTTGCCCCAGGCTTCACAGCCCTGAGCCTTGAGCTCGGGTGTTTCCTCCTGGCCTACTTCCCCAGACCTCTGGGTCTGGCTGTGAGGGCAGCATTCCTTATATGGCTTTTTCTTCTGGGCACAACATGGTAATATCATTGCAAAGTTAGAGTAGAGATTATTTTGGACTGGTGACCATAGTAACTAATTGAGCAGGATAATATGGTATTAGCTAAATCTGCAGTAATGATGATGGAGCTATTGACACTCTTTAGTTGATGGAAGATAGGAGGGTCATAGGACCCTTACCTGGGATTCAGCCATTACTCTCTTCTGCCTTCCATTTAGCTAGCTGCAAGTGATCCTGGGAGACAGATCCTAGATTATACAGGAAGTGGAATGCTGGCTGAAAGGGAGACTCCATGAGGTCATCACTTTGTGGTGATGTAACTGTTTGGGGGTCACCTACATGCTTGTAAGCAAATCCCCACCGCTTGCGCATCACTGAGACCCAATAAACTCACTGGTTCTCCAAGATGAATTGTGGTGGAGCCCTTACTTTAGTCTGCTGGCTGTGCCCTGTTTGATCATAGCTGGTTTATGTCTCCTCAGGAAAGGTGTCACCATAACACTTGTGCCTGGAGGCATGGCTTCTGAAGAGAGGCCTTTTGAGGTTGTGGTGGAAGGTTCTAGAGCAGTGGTTCTAAACCTATGTGTTGCAACCCCCAGGATCAAATAGCAGATATCCCGTATATCAGATCTTTACATTATGATTCATAACAGAAGCAAAAGTGCAGTTATGAAGCGGCAACAAAGATCATTTTGTGGTTGGCCATCACCACAAGCTGAGGAACTGTGTGTGTTAAAGGGTTGCAGCCTGAGAAAGGTTGGGAATCACTGGTCTAGACCAAGTTACCCTGGGCTAGCCTCTCTGAGCTGCACTTCTTGCCTCTAGGCCTTGATAATAACACCTGACTGTCCTAGACAGTGGGCAGGTGGCCAACAGCTGTGCCACGAAGGCACTTTGGCAATGTGCCTAGCTCAGAGCTGGGGGCCTGGCTCAGCAAGTACAGTGCCTGTAGAGCATGCATGAGGGCAACCAGTTCAGATCTCCAGTACCTGCAAAAAGCCAGACACCATGGTCCATGTCTTTAACCCCAGAGCTGGGGAGACAGAGCTGGCCAGACGGCCTAGACCAAGCAGCCATCTCTAGATTCAACGAGAAACTGTCTCAAAAAACAAGGCAGAGGGTGTTAGAGGAAGACACCTGACCTCTAGCCTCCACATATATGCAAATGCATATGAATGAGTACTACACATACACAAGCATATGTCGGGGCTTTTGCCAGCCCGATGGCACAGGCTTCTGGGTGCTGTGGGAATCAGAGGGGCTGACGAAACAGCTGTGTACCCTGCCATCTACGGTCAGATCTGGGTCTGGGAGCTTACCTCTCTTCTCGGTGGTGATGACTGTGGCCTCCAGGGGCTCGCCCCAGCCTTGTCTGGTCTTAGCAGACAGCCTGAAGATGTATGCAGATTCTGGGGCCAGCTCTGTGGCTGTGAACTGTCGCACTGTGGCACCCACCTCAACAGTGGTGAAGGTGTGGGGACTGCCGCTGGCCAGGCGGTAGGCAATCTGGTACCCTGTGGGGGGGGGGGCAGAGTCAGGGAGTGAGCTTAGCCACTTATTTCTTCCCTTGCCCAGAAAACCTACACTCCCAACACCCCATAATCAGCCCAGATTGGAAACCCAAACAAGGCCTGCCCTCTGTTCCTTCCTGATTTCCAAAGGCTGCAGGGAGCACACTGAAAGGGAGAGCACAGCCCTAGTGATGAGTGCGGGTTGTGTGGGCTGTCCTCTGTGAAACTTGTCTCACAGTTCATCCTTCATGGGAACAAGATGCGAAAACAGCTTCATCTTTCCTCGGAGCTGCACACTCGGAGAATGCCACCAGTCCCAGAACCCCTCATTGTTCCCCACAGGAGGCTGTCACTAGCCAGTACCTCAGGCTCTTCCATTTCCTTCCATCACCCCTCCTATGGTGCAGCCTTTCCCTTCAACCCGGCAGGAGAGGCCAGAACCTGCCCTTAGCAGGTTATTTCACACTTCTCAGCAGGGGCAGTGTTTGCAGTGTGCAGGACTACAGCAGGGTTACACTTGTATTATTCGGCCCCCTTGCTAGTTTCCCCCTGCTGTGGCCTTCCCCACATCCTCATCTCCCTCCATTCCAGCCTTTCAGCTTCCCGACCCAGGCCTCCTGAGTGCAGAGGCTCTGTGTTAAATAGTTAAATACCCCTTCTGTTAATTTCCATAACTCCAGAATGGCAGGGTTTGGCTGGCTCTGCATGTCTCTCTAAGTTCCTTGATTATGAAAGGGTCATGGTTGATCAGACATTATTAATGATCAAATCCCACCAACCAAGCAACCCCAATGCCTGCCTGCTGGCTTCTGAAGAAGCCTTGCCAATTTCCCAGGCCCAACCGTGAGCGGTGGGGCAGACTGCCTTCTGGGCTCACAGACCACGTGTGGTCCAGCTTCTGATTAAAACCAGAATGGATGGGGTGCTGTGACATCTAGAGAAAATTAATGACAACCCAAGTGATCACGTTAAACAAGGGAGACTCCTCAGGGGCAAAAGAAAATCATCAAAGGCTGCAGTGGTCTTCTATAACTCTGCCTGCCAGGGCCTGTGAGTGGGGGTCACCTGCAGTGACCAGGGTGGTGGTCTGCTCACCTCCTGTCAAGGCTTGGCTCCTCCTACAGCTTGGCCAGTCCTCTGGATGCCCTCAGGCAGTATTTTTGTGACTCCTGTTTCTCCTGGCTTAGCCTTTGGCTCTCACGTTTTCCAAGCTGCCTGATCATTTTCCCTAACCACTTGGTGAATTTTCCAGTCATCCACTGGGAGACCAGGAGGACATTCACACAGAGGTCAGATTGAGCATACCCTGACCTTCGGACCCAGCCACTGCAGGTCATTGATAGGGTGGTTATCATTACCATATAGACCAGGTGACACAACCCTCAGCCCTGTCCAGAGTAATGCCCAGAGTGCATGAGATGCTAACCTCAGATCCCTTACAGCCACTAGGGCTACTTGCCATCTTTGATGGGCTAGCTTTTCTTCCTGCCATGGGGTTGAAGTGTTCTGAGGCTTCTAGCAGCTGGTCCAAACCTCTTCCCCTTCTTATTTACTAAGGACTGCAGTCTAGAGATTGTTGGCCAATTGCCTTTTCTCCCATGGCACTCAGCCATGGCGAAGTGGAACTTGGGTGCCTCAGGGGACACAGTCTTAGGCCTTCAGAGACTCATATAATGAGATGTCACAGTAGCCAGACAGCCCTGTGCAAGGGATATGGTTCCTACAGTCTCACTCAATCGAGGGCTAACAGCAGCCATCCCCAGTGGGTCAACCACAAGGGGCAAGGAATCTGGAAAGGTTACAGTTTGCCCAGGGTTGTTGATGATGGATGCCCCAGGTCTGTCCTACTTTTCTTTAAAAAGAACCTCCTGCATTTCCAGGGAGGAAACAGCCCCTCTTGGCTTCCAGGAGTGGTCAACCTTTTGACACTGTGATGGAGGTTGTCATATAGAATTCATGTTTGAGAACCATGCAATAAAGTTATGGAAAAACCTCCCAGTTAAAACACTCCTGGGTATCTACCCTAAAGTCTCCAAGTTGCCACAGCACAAAGATACGTGCATGTCTGTCTAATAGCTAGCACTGTCGATAGCAGCTGCACTATGAAGCCAATCTAGGTATCTAACAGCATAGGAATGGTTAAGGAAAATGTACTGTTTATGCAACAAAATATAAAAGAAAATTAACGTATACTTAAGTTCCTACTTGTCTCTTAGCACACCGTGTGTGTAATGTCCAGAGGCCAGAAGAGGACATCAGATCCCCTTGGACTGGGTTATAAACAGATGTAAGGGATGAAGTGTGGTGCTGGGAACCGAATCCAGGTCCTCTGCAAAAACAGCAAGTGCTGTTAACTGCTGAACCATGGTTTGACCCCACACAATGCCCCTCACATATACAAAACCTCCCTTTCCTTTTTCCATCCATGGAGAGGAATGAAGTTACACTGTTTTCAGAAAAATGGATGTAACTGAAGACTGTCATAAAAATCATAGAAAGTCACATACCATATCAAGAAAACACAAATGAGAGATCATTTGTGGTTCTTAGATTTTCTATAGATACATAAAATCATATACACACACACACACACACACATACATGTACATATGTTATGAAAGTAGAAGTTAAGTTACATAGGTGATAAAAGGAACCCATGGGAGGGAGGAAGGGGAAAGAGAAGGGAGGAGAACATGGGGTACAATGTGTATAATATTCAATATATAATGAGAGCTTAAAAAATAATTTAATAATACTTTTTGTAATTTTTTAAGTAAGCTTATGATTTTGTGGGTGTTGCTCATAGCTATCTTGGGGCTCATGCAGCCCATGGGTTCTATGTTGGATACACCTGTTAGACCCTGCACCCCACAGTTCCCTCTGTGAGAGGGTTTCCTTGCAGAAACTGTAGTCCACAACTGCAGGTATGTGCCTGGACTGTCACCTGCTTCTGCTAATCCCCCACTTTGTTATGTGAAAAGTGACCCCCCCCCACATATACAATCTCTGTCTCTTGAGCTTGAAGGGTGTACCACAGGTCACACCTCACAGGCTGTTGGGATTCTCTGTGCTGCAGGCAACAAGCTACACCTCACAGGGACAGTAAGGCACAGGACTTGTCTTGTAGCCATTTCTCAATTCTGTGTGTTAACTGACATTTCCAGGAATAAGCCTCTCCCTTGTTAAACATTCTCCAAGGCTGATAACTTATTAGAACATCAACATTTGTCAGCTGGAAGTCACAGGCCTACAGCCAAAATAAATCGGGCTATCTCAGCCCCTAAATAGCATTTACTGCCTACCTCTGTGCCTAGCATCTTGTGGTGATTAAGTAAATCCTCTGAAATGTACAAAAATACCCTTGATTTTCATCAACCACCCAAAGCTTGTTGTCAGACAGCACCCAAGGCCTGTAACAGTGACTTCCTGACTCTGCTGTACCCAAGGTTTCTACCAACATGTTTAAAAACTCTCCTAATTTATGATTTTCTTTTTTTCTGTTACTAGGAAAATCCAGCTGTTACCACACTAGTACATGGAATTTGGGGTAACCCAAATCCGTGTTCCTGGGCCATGATCATATTTTGATACTTTGACCAAGAATAAACTATCTCCCTCTGAGGTGAGAGCTGTGTCTGTTGTTACTGGTGATGCTATTGCCATGGCTGCCCTCTCACTGGAGTATTCTAGGGCTCTTAGTTGTACCTGCAGTTATTTTTTCATGTATTTTTTTTCTCTTCCCCGAGGGCCTACCCTCCTCAGTTCTACAGAAGCCTCAGGCCTAGCTCTTGAGTTGCTAGGACCAACGCTTAACCATCCTTACTGTGGTGGTTTGAAAAGGAACAGCCCTCATGTATGTGAATGCTTGGCCCCTAGGAGATGGTATTATTAGGAGCTGTGGCCTTGTTGGTGTGGGTGTGGCCTTGTTAGAGGAAGTGCATCACTGTGGAGGCAGGCTTGGAGGTTTCAAATGGTCAGGCCATTTGATACGTAGTCTTCTGCTGCCTCTGGATTGAGATGTAGGACTCTCAGCTTCTCTGGCACCATGTCTGCCTGCATGCCGCCATGTCTCACCATGATGATAATGGACTGTGAGTCATCCCCAATGAAATGTTTTCCTTTATAAAAGTTGCCATGTTCGTGGTGTCTCTTCACAGCAATAGAAGCCCAAACTAAGACACTCATCTTAGCCACCACATGGGCAATGCCTAACCATGTCAGGGCTTATTGAGTTAGCTGCACTTAGCACATGTTCACTCAAAGCCCAGCAAAGACCAGGTAACTTAACAGTAGGATCTGCCTTGGAAGCAGTGTTGTATTTCACAACACTGTCTGCTTCTTTAGAGACCAGGGGAATGCCCCAATTTTAAAGTCTCTTTATTTTTATTAATGTTTACTTTTTAAATTGTGACTTACGTGTATAAGTATATGCTGTGTGTGTAGGTGCACTTGGAGTCCAGCATAGAGCATCAGATCTCCTGGAGCTGAAGTTACAGTTGTGGGCCACCCTACATAGGTGCTGGGAATTGAACTCAGGTCCTCTGCTAGAGCAATAAGCACTCTTAACTGCTGAGCCACCCATCAAGCCCCAGAATTCTAAGATCTTCTGACTGGGAGTGATATCTCTAGTCATGGAGTCAGTATTTATTTTGGAAAATATCTAGATTTAAGCTGCCTTTCTTAAATTAAAAAAAAAAAAAAAAAAGGAAAAAAAAAAAAAAAAAAAGAAAAGAAAATTAATCTAGGTCTATTGGCACCAATCTGTAGTCCCAGCTACTCAGGAGGCTGAGGCAGGATGACTGAAAGCTCAAGCCAGCCTGTGCTAAAATGAGTTCAAGGGTAGCTAGGGAAATGTGGCAAGACTGTATATCCAAATGAAAACCCAGAAATCTCAGTGGTAGAGCACCTGCCTAGAATCCCCCAGTGAGGGGCTGGGGTATGGCGCAGAGGTTCTTGGTTGTTATGTGTGGGATCCTTGTACCTCTTGGACGTCCCTGACCAGA